TCTGTTTTATTCAACGAGCGCTGCCGCGCAGCCCTTTCTTCGCGGAAGAATTTTAATTAGTACGTTCTCGAGCGTACCGGGGCGAGAATGAAAAATTATCGCGCGACGGGAAAAATGTAATTCCGGCGTTACAGTACGCCAGCTTTTGCTTGGCCTGTTCCACGTGTCTCTTTTCAGAGATCTCGCCGGTCCGCTCACAAATACCAGTGGAAATCGATTTTCTTTCCTTTTTTCTTTTTTCTTTTTTTTTTTTTTTTTTTCGTCGTCGTGTACCAACTTTTGTCGAACTCGCCGTCGTGGAACTGCAACGTGCTCGTGATGTTTTCCTCTTCGTTTCCTCTACCGAAGATAGAAATTCGTTAGGAATTACCAACGAACGAACAAAATCCTCGAAAATTCTCGAGCTTCAATTATTTTACTTTACTCTTTTTTTTTTTTCGTTGCGAATGTTTCGATTACCGCGACAGAGTGAAAAACGGTGGGATTTTCAGAGGACCTTTGTGTCATGGATATCACAGTCGAATATCGAAGAGAGCGATACGCGCGGCTCGTTACCCTCCGCTATCAATTAGACACCGTGTATCGATCTCGGCGTGACCATTGTCGCGGTTCGCTTCCACATCAAAGAACGATCGTGCGCGATCGAGACGGGGTCGGCAGGGTCGTGTCATCAACGAAATTGATACATTTTGCGGGCAGCGCGTGTGCGACACGACGTTTCATCGAGCGACACCCCCGCGTAAAACGCGCGCTGGTGTAAAAGGAAGAAACGATCGGGCGGAACTGCGGCCCGGAGTTCCTCTCCACTCGCGTTCGTCTCTTCGCTTCGGGACAATTCCACAATTACGACGCAATAAAACTGAGCGGGAATATCACGTCCTCTCTCGGAGACTAGATAACACCCTCTAGGACTAGGGGGGTCTCTTCGAACGAGAAAAGGAAAAAATGGAAAAGAAAGGAGGGAACACGGGAGAATGGTTGGTACGCGACGATGAGTGACAAAGAGCGCGACTATCCAATCGTCGTACCCGTCACGAACGAACCGCCCCGCTTACGAGCAACCTTTAGGCGGATTAGGTGAGAGAAAATCGTAAAGTGAAAATCCTCCTTCTCTTTTCACCGGTTGGTTAGTGGATTTCCCTGCCCCGGTGGCGAGAGATTGCCGATGTGGAAGTTTCTCGGAACTGCGACTTTCGGAGTCGGAGGATGGTTGGTCGAACATCGAACGAGCATCCTTAAATCGATGCTTGAAAAATTCAACTCCTCGAGATTAGCCTCCTTTTCTCGCGATGCGACCGAGCTATCTCTCGTTTCTTCCCCTTTCGAGGTCCGGTCGCGTACGATCCTCGTTTTATATACCGTTCCCGAATATCTGAAGGAACGAGGAAGAAGCTGGAGGTGGGAAACTGAAGCGAGCAGGGTTTTGCAAATGGATCTAAACGACGCTCCCGTTTCCGGGTGATTCGTGAGCGTAGCGCACCGCCCTGGCGCCAGTAGAACACGTCCGCCATTGTCAGACAGACAGACCAGGTCTTTCCCTTTATCAGTACACCGGTCCATTGTTTCACGTATCGAGGAAGAGGATCTCGAGAGAACGGATCGTGATCGTTAATCGACGCGATCCGCGATTAATAAAAGTCGTCGCGTGTGCATCGAATCGATCCATCCAATGGATATGAACGATCGCCGTTCGCGCTTCGTTTGCAAGTTCAAAGCAGGGGGCTTATTAACTACTAGCGTCCGTTCTCGGCAGCGCTATTTATAAATTAAACTACCGGCCGTCTCCTCTTCGAAAGCGATTCTCCCTCTCGATCTTCCTTTTGCCTCCTCCTCCTCCACTCTCTCTCTCTCCCTCATTCTGCATACTCGTTTTTCTCTACTTTCGCTTTTCCTCCCTCTCGTTCGTCTTCACTTTTCACGGGTAACAACTCTCCACGGAAATTGTCGCATCGATATCCGTCGCGGTCTCGCAACACCCGTATTTCACTCCTCGTCTCGGGATCTTGCCCGCGTTTTTTTTCTTTTTTTCCTTTTTTCCTTCTTCTTTCTTTTTCTTTTTTTCTTTTTTTGCTCCTGTTTCCTACGGGAGGAACCAACGGTGCGTACGATTGCGTAACACGCGCTATTCTCGAGCACGGCCAATTAAACGTAAAACCTAGCCACGTCTGACACCGTGAACGACCAACGTGCTCTTAACGACGGACAATTAAAATATCTTCGTGTCAGGTTCACTCGGATTTTTCCTCTCATCCGACTTGATCTATCGCAAGCTTCGATCACTTTCGAGTTTTAGTTTGCCCCCTCTGAATTGTTCCAAGGGCTGCAGATGCGCGACGTGGGGACAATTTCGATGGTAACTTTTAATCATCGCGTGCCAATCGTTACATCGTAAAACTGGCGACTTCTTTCCACCGTTTATTTCCTAGTCGGAATTATTCGCCCTGTTGACGGATGACACGAATTCTCGTCCAGGGAACCAAGTTTTACGACAGAACGTTGACGCGACCGAAATTACAAATCCGAACTTGTTGTCGTCGCTCGGTGACGAGTGCATTAACGTGTTAATTAAAAACTTGTCGTGTCTCTGCGGCGACCTGCCCATCTCGGTCGTGACGAAAAGTTCATTAAGACCTGCCATGAAATGGAAACACCCGTGTGAACCCGAGGTTTCTCCATACG